GGACTGGTGGTTGGGGACCCCTGTTGTAGTCCAACCCCCTGCCTAGGCAGGAAACTCTAAACCACTTCAGACAAATGGTTATCCAACATGTTTTTAAAAACTTCCAGTGTTAGAGCATGCCTGAAATGGTATAGGAGATTGGACCAGATGATCTCCAAGGTCCCTTCCAACTCTATTTTCTAATCCTAATCTAATCCTAACCTAACCTAATCCAACATATTCTCTAAAGCACCCGAGGGCAGGAGAAGAGGCAATGGGTGGACCGGAAGCTCCTCAAATGGGGATTCAACCTGGAAATAAGGGAGGAATTTCCTAGCAATGAAAACGATTATTCAGTGCAACAGCTTGCCTTCCGGAGTTATAGATGCTCCATCACTGGAGGTTTTCAAGAAGAGATTTGACAACTATTTAACTGCGATAGTTTAAGGTCTCCTGCCCTGTGTGGGGAGTTGGACTAAAAGAGGTCTCTTCAAGGTCTCTTCCAGCCGTAGGATGCTATGGTTCCATGAAGTAGGGAGTGATTGACCTCCTCAGTCCTTTCATACACTGTTTCTATCCATCCACCTAGCATCCTAGCATGCGCGCAGCACAAACTTTTGAATCTCTCTTCTTTTTTTCCATGAATAGATTAAAAAAACTGAAGAAGTGATCTATCCCCAGTCACCTTGTAAGGGTGACGGGCGACATAAAAAATGTAATAAAGAAATCAATAAACTTGAAATTGAGATACAAAAGGCGAATCTTAAACTTCTGTAAGATTTGAAGGCACCAATTTTACACCCCGTAATCTTGTTTGAGTTCAGTGCAGCATGGGAAATTATAAAGACGGGCTGACAATATCACTCTCTGAGTCCAACTGAATTCTGTGTTCTTGAAAGTCTAGATGATGGGCAACCTTACACAGGGGTGGGATTCAATTTTTTTAAAAAACAGTTCTGTGGGCGTGGCTTAGTTGGTGGGCATGGCTTGGTGGTCATGTGACTGGTGGACATGGCTTGGTGGTCATGTAATTGGCTGGGTGTGGCCAACTCAACATCACTCACATCGAGGCACGCATCTCCTCGCCTGGCCTCTCATGACTGTGGGGATGCTGCAACAGTCGTAAGTGTGAAAAATAGTCATAAGTCACTTTTTTCAGTGCCGTTGTAACTTTGAATGGTCACAAGCAAAGTACCAGCAAAGGAGGGGAACAAACTCCAGAGAAGTTCCTGAGACAGGAAGTCTAGTCCTGCCAAGAATGTAATAAGGGTTAACGGAGAGGCAGTTTCTGTAAGCAACACCAGAATGTTTCCTTCCTGCCTTCCTTACAGGATTAGGCCAGTAATTTCTTCTAACAAGTGGTTCTCTGAACTGCTTAGAATGTTAACGACCGGTTCTAGCAAATAGGTGCGAACTGGTAGAATCCTACCCCTGACCTTACAGTATCCCATATCTGGATATATATTATATTGGGGGTGTTATAAGAAATTGGTTCCTTACTTTTTTGACAGTCTTGTCCGGTTCAAGAGCGATATCTGGAATGTTGGCATCAACCATCAGAGAGAACAAGTTCAAAATCAAGTTGGAATATCTGTAAAGAAGAAAAGGCCAACTAAGAAACAAATACAACTGTGCAATGAAGAATATAAAGGATCAAATTCATCACCAGCCTCAAAATCAGGACGATCCTTTTCCCCAGAAAACAATGAGCGTGATTGGTATGACCAAGAGGAAAAACGAATGAGGCCAACAGAGATACTTTACAAAAAAAAACAACCAAAAAAAAAAAAACCAAAGACAGAAGAACAACAAAACAACAGCATTTGGAAAGGACCTTGGAGGTCTTCTAGTCTGACCCCCTGCTCAAGCAGGACACCCTACACCATTTCAGATAAAGCTTTGTTCAGTCTCTTTTGGAAAGCCTCCAGTGATGAAGCATGCACAACTCCTGGAAGCAAGCCATTCCACGGATTAATTGTTCTCACCTCCTTAGTTCTTGGTCAGGGGTGTCAAATTCAAGCCCAGATCTGGCCTGGAAATAACAAAGGACTGGCCCTGCAGTGCCTCTGTCAGTAAAGACAGGGCCACCCTGGGCTCCAGGGTGGCTGAAAACGGGGCCTGGGCAGCTATGGGTGCCCCTCCCCAGCTCCGTTTCTGCTGGCAGAGGGCTATCAAAACAAACTTAAAGCAAACCAAAGGAGAGATGTTTCTCCTTTTGCATTTGAGCACCCAAGAAGGGACAGGAAAGGAGAAAGGGAAAGAGGAAAGACAAAGAAAAAGAAGGAAAGGTGGGAAGAGGGCCAGGAAGGAAAAACAAGGAAAGAGGGGAAGGAGGAAGAAAGGAGAATGAAGAGAGAAGGGAAAAGAAGAAAAGGAAGGAAGGAAGGAAGGAAGGAAGGAAGGAAGGAAGGAAGGAAGGAAGGAAGGAAGGAGGGAGGGAGGGAGGGAGGGAGGGAGGGAGGGAGGGAAGGAAGGAAGGAAGGAAGGAAGTAAGGAAGGAAGGAAGGAAGGAAGGAAGGAGATTATAATGAGAGTGAGGGAAGGTCTCAGTGAAATCCTTTCTTAGCACTTGACCATCACAATGCCCCCGACAAGAGTGATGTCAAGCTGGCCATGCCCACCCCACACATGCCCACCCTGGCCACACCACCCCCTCCTTGAGGTCAAACACAACCCTGATGCGGCCCTCAATGAAATTGAGTTTGACACCCCTGTTCTAGGCTGTTTCTCTCTTTGGTTAAGTTTCCATCCATTGTTTCATCTTGCCTTTTGGTGCTTTGAAAAATAATTTGACCCCCTTCGTCTTGGGTTGGAGCCCCTCAAATATTGGAACAGTGCTGTCAAGTCACCCCTAGTCCTTCTTTTCATCAGAGGTGGCATTCAGCCGGTTCTGACCAGTTCTGGAGAACCGGTAGCGGAAACTTTCAGTAGTTCGGAGAACCAGCAAATCCCACCTCTGACTAGCCCCGCCCCCATCTATTCTCCGCCTCCCGAGTCCCAGCTGATTGGCTGGGTCTTCTTTGGTTGCCCTGCACAGGAGAACAGAGCTGGAAAGCAGGTTAGTGGTATGGAGAGGGAATGGGGATTTTGCAGTAACCTTCCCCTGCCACGCCCACCAAGCCATGCCTGCCATGCGACGCCCACCAAGCCACGCTCACAGAACCGGTAGTAAAAAAATAATAATCCCACCACTGGATTAGACATACCCAATTCCTGCAACCATCCTGTGTATGTTTTAGTCTCCAGCCCCCTAATTGAATTGAATTGAATTCTTTACTATTGTCATTGTTCGTATGCACACAGTATACATACAACGGAATTCACATAACACCCAGAGACCAGACCCAACACGCACACACACACATGACAATCCCCAAACAACCCCCACCCACCAAAATTCCTCACCCCCTAAAAACACACAAGCCTCCACACAACAGACCAAGCAATACTGCCCAACAGCTCACTGATGGTGGTCCTTAAGTTCATTGTTAACTGCCATTATAGCTCTGGGATTAAAAACTGTTCGGAAAACGTGTGGTCCGAGTTTTAATTGCTCCGTATCTTCTGCCAGAAGGCAACAGTTCCCAAAGATTGTAAGCAGGATGGGAAGAGTCTCTGAGAATGTTGTGCAACTTCCTCAAACAGCGAGATGCAAAGATGTTGTCCAGGGCTGGTAGCTGGAGCCCGATGATATTCTGGGCAATTTTAATGATTCTCTGTAGAGCCTTTTTTGTCCGCGACAGAACTGCTCCCATACCATGCAAGAATGCCGTATGTCAGGACCCTCTCAATGGTGCTGCGGTAGTAGGACAGAAGTAGATGCTGAGATAGATTTATCTCCCTGAGCATTCTCAGGAAGTACAGCCTCTTCTGTGCCTTCTTCACAAGCATGTTAGCATTCAAAGTCCACTGAGAGGTCCTCTGAGATATAAGTGCCCAGAAATCTAAAACTACAAACCCTCTCCACCTCCTCGCCATTTATGTACAATGATAAATGTACATCTCTCTTCCTCCTGAAGTCAATTATAATCATTCTTGTTGCTCATTCTTGCTCTTTACTACGTGTAAAGATCTCTTTACTTCATCTCTTTAATTTTCTGTATGCACACTTAAGGCTTTTATGCATATCCTCAGGTTTTGTTTGAGAAAATAACCATTTAGACTCTCTTCCAGCCTGCAATAATTTATTGGAAGCTTTATCTGGCATCTTGGTATCCCATCCTGGCAGAAGGATTTGTAGCATTTATAGCAGCCCTGTGCCATCTTGTGTTCGGAGAGGAACATTTCATCTTTGTTTCTAAATTTTGGGGTTGTTGTTGTTTTGGTGCAGCTGCTGTTTTTATCATGATGGAATACAGGTGGTCCTTGACTTACGACCACAATTTCCCCTTAGATACAGATTAACAGAGTTGGAAGAGACCTTGTAGGTCATCTCGTCCAACCCACTGCCCATTAAACCCAAACTTTCTGCTGCTAAGCAAAACATGGATGAAGTGAGTCCCCCCCCCCCCATTTTACAACCTGTTATGCCTCTGGTGGAGACTGACTCTGAGGGAGACGAGGAACAGCCGACAGGGAGTAGAAGTGTGGCTCCGGAGGTTGTGGAGGAGGCTGGAGAAAGGCAGAGGCCGGCTGGGCAGTCAGAGGAGGACCCAGGCCCGTCCCCTCTCCATCCTAGGGCACACAGGGAGGAGAGGATAAGAGAGAGATGTGGTCTACTTGGGAGGAGAGGGCCTTGATCCTCTTCATGGGCTGCAGCTGTGACAACTGAATAAGGGGACGGACTTGCGTACGGGCAAACGCTGGAAACAAAGCATGGAAATATCTCTAGTTTATGGTTCCTCTCTGAGTTTGGCGTCCTTCCCAGTGTGTGTTATCTGTGGACGTCCTCCAGCCCTTATCTTACCTGGCTTGTGTGGCTTTTTCCATTCTTCTTGTAACTGTTTGTGTGGGAGTTTTTTTTTTAGCTTCTGTCAAGAATATTCGGAGCTTGGAAGCAAAGTGAAGGAATAAAAGAGGCTTCACCTGTTTTCTGTGACTGTGTTTCTTTTGTATCCCACAACTTTTCTTGCCAGAGTTGTTAAGGGAATCACGACAGCTGTTAAGTTAGAAACACGGTTGTTAATGAATCCGGCTGCATCATTGACTTTCCTTGTCCAAAGGTCATAAAAGGGGATCATGTGACCCTGGGACACTGCGACCGTCATAAATATGAACCGGTTGCCAAGCGTCTGAATGTTGATCAGGTGATCAGGGAGATGCTGCAACAGTCACAACTGTGAAAAACGGTCACTAGTCCCTTTTTTTCAGCGCCATTGTAACTTTGAACGGTCACTAAATAAACTGCTGTTAAGTCAAGGGTTTGATTAAAAGCAAAAATGGGGAGGAGAATATTAAGAATATTTCAATACATAAAGTGCAGGTATTTTAGCAGCGGAAGTTACTAAATTGTGCCTCCAAAGCTGGAGGCAGAAGTGGTGTATCAAAAAAAACCAGAGTGGGGTGGAACTGAGTCTGGATTCCCAGAAGGGAGGGGCTGCATTCCAGATGTCAAAGAGGCAAGGAAGCAAGAAACGTTTTCTGGGAAGGGAGAGGGTTAAATCAATTCCTCCTAACGATTCTCGGAGTACATCTGTAGTTATGCAAATGAGTGGTGCGGTGGCCTAGAGGTGGAGCTCTCGCCTCACAATCGGGAGGCTGTGAGTTCGATCCTAGGTAGAGGTAGATATTTCTCTCTCTCTCTTTGAGCACCATGAGAATATATATCTACCGAACAAAACTCCGCATTGGCGACAGGAAAGGCATCTGGCCAGTAAACACTCGGCTCCATTCAGTTGCCCAGATTCAAGGGTCGTTAAAAGAAGAAGATGATTTTAGTTATGGAAATAAAGGTAGCCTTTGAGTTACGTCAGTTCATTTAGAGACCGTTCGAAAGTACAACGGCAGTGAAAAAAGTGTCTTAGGACCGTTTTTCAGCGCTGCAGCTTCCCCATGGTCATGTTATCAAAATTCAGACGTTTGACTCATATTTATGACAGTTGCAGTGTCCAAGGAAATAATGAGATTGCTTTTTGCGAACTTCTGGCAAGCAAAGTCAAAGAGGAAGCCAGATTCATGTTACCAACTTAACAACTGCAGTGATTCACTTAAAAACCATACCAAGAAAGGTCATAAAACGGGGCAAAACTCACCTAACAACTTGTTCTGGCCAAGGCTTCCTGAGACAGTAACAATCACACACTTAGGTTAAAGTTTTTGGGGTTTTGGGAAGAAAACTGTGTCTACTATTGACCTCACCCCCTTCCTAAAAGGCCGGTAGGGGGCGTGCATAAGCGCACCAATCGTGCCTACCGTCCCTGTCCTATCTCATGTATTCAAAACTATATTTATTCTTATACCTGTACCTTGTAAGCGATTGACAAATCAAATAAATAAATTAAATAAATAAATAAATAACTCTCTTTTTATTTCAACGGCTGTGAATTATATGCATTCACAGCCTGTAATGAGTCCCAAACAGTTTGTGAATAGTCCAACGGAAGTCTACCACAGTCTTTTCGGGATAAGGTTGATAAGCACCCACTTTTATCTCCCTTGAAATGCTGCCAACAACTAAATTGCCAATTAGCTATACAAGGCCAAACGGAGCACAAGGTCAACACGGAGCTTCAGAGTTTAAACCGACCAGAATGAACAAAGTTGCTTCCTGCAAAGGCTCCTGTCCCTTTGCTCCTCCTTTATGTCGTATGGGAGGGGACAATCACCTCCAAGCCTTACTCCCGAGTTGCCCCTTTTGTCTTAACTGTTCTTGCCTTCTGGCAGCTCTGCGCATACGCACACTGGGAACAGGCTCTCCCTATTCCTCTGCCTCGCTGATGTCAGGTTCTGGAGGCTCCAGAGTCAGCACATAATTCTGATGACTCGGGGCGTGACACAAAAATAACAAAGTCACAAAAGTAGAATAAATTCCCTTGAATGCCTCCAACTTGGCCTCCAATGTCCAATTATCTTCGGCTGGAGATCAAACTCTTCCAAAAACAGTCTACGAAGGAAAGAAATGCAGTCCGAACCCAAAGTAAAGATAATTAGAAATAAGACAACAACACAAACCACACTGAAGTAATTAACACGGCAGGCCAGGATGATAAATTGCAGACTTCCACAAGATAACCAGCAACCACAGTTGGGAGGACACCAAAACCCAGATAAGCCTCGACAAAGATAATGCACGCTTTGCTTCCAGCAAGGGAGCTGTGTGCAAACACCCCTCTTATATCCTGTTCTCCCAATTGTAACTTATGAAAAGGATCAGGGCCTTTTTCTCTCCCATAAGCCATGTTGCTCCCTTCTCCATTCCTCCCTGCGTGCCCTAGGATGAAGAGGGGATGGTCCTGGGTCTTCCTCTGAATGCTCAGCCGGACTGTGCCCTTCCCCTGTTTCCTCCACAGCCACCGGAGTCACACTCCCACTATCAGCTGCTCAATTTCTCCCTCAGAATCAAACTCCAACAAGGGCATAACACTAACTACCAGATGGCCCTGGCCCCATCTCTGTGTCGGACGCAGATCCCTCGTCCGAGCCCTCCAGAACTGGCCCCTGTTCCTCCCACTGTCCGACTCTGCTGCCGGCTCCACAGGCTGGCGGCGGACCACAACACAACTGTCTCATTTAGCAATTGGACTCAATTGTAGACCCATAGCGTCATAAATTATGAGCTAGTGGCCAAGCACCTGAACTTTGATCAGGTGGCCATTGGAGATGCTACAACGGCCGTAAGTGTGAAACACAGTAATCCATCACTTTTTATTTTGGCGCCGCTGTAACTTCAGTCAATAAATGAACATTCGCAAGTCGAGGACCGCCTGTACATGATTCATAACCATCCAATCCATTGGGGATTTCAGCTGAAGTTCAGGTAGTCCTCGACTTATGACAGTTCATTTAGTGATGATGGCAAAGAAAAAAGGGACGTATGATCGTTTTCCACAGTTATGACCTTTTGATCACAGGATCAAAATTCAGGTGCTTGGCAACCGACTCGTATTTACGACGGTTGCAGTGTCCTGGGGGGAGGGGGCATGTGAATACCTTCTGACAAGCAAACTCAAGGAAGCCAAATTCGTTTAACAACCATGTCCCTAAACTTAACAACTGTATTGATTCACTTAACAACTGTGGCAAGAAAAGTCGTAAAATGGGGCAAAACTCACTTCAGTTGTCTCACTTAACCACAGAAATGCTGGACTCCATTTACGGTCGTAAGTTGAGGACTGCCTGCATTTGCTTCAAGTGCTATCTCTGTTTTCTTTCCTCCCACCCACCCAACCCAAGCTTCCTTCTCCTGGTTCAAGTGAATTCAGTGAGCGGGCCTTTGCGAAGCATATTTCCTTCCCATTATTTTCATTAATATTCCCCACTTTTGTGCATTTTATTCCCCATACATCATAAAGCACCCATAAAGATGTCTATATCCCTTTCCATTCTCACTCAGTTCAGGCAAGTGGGAGAGAAAAACGGGCTCGCTAGCCGTGTCTTACCTTAGTGGTCGTATTTCAAAGGCAATCAGGCTGCAAATGTTAAATCCAAAATGCTTTTTTCACCTGTTCAACTTACTATCTATTAAAATTTGGTTTTAAACTCTCAGATACACCGAGCGAATGCAGCTTGTCGCAGAGTACATTCATAAGAAAATTTGCGGCCCGTCTCGTGGCGAGACGGGTGGCAAACCAATTTAAGGAATTAAATAAAACATGAATAAATATATAGGTTGGCTTTCACTATCTCCTAGCTCCGTGATGGCGAACCTATGGCACGACGTACGTTGACAATTTACATTGGTAACCAGTCATTAAGTGAATTTTGCCTCCTTTTATGGCCTTTTCCCCCCACAGTTGTTTAAGCGAATCTCTGGTGTTGTTAAGTGAACCATGGAGTCATTAAACGAATCTGGCTTCCTCCACTGCCTTTGCTAATCCGAAGCCAGCTGGCAATAATGTGGAATTGGTTTTCCATTTCCTTTTCCTGTAATGATTTTTCAACTTCTGAGTTTTTTCTGGTAGCTTTTCCTTTAAGCACTAAGCAGGTTTAATCAGGCTTAGCATTTCTCCGAGTAACTGGATTTGGCTAGTTGATGCAAACTGCAAAATTATGGGCATCTTTATATATTTTGTTTATCATAATCCCAAGAAAATTTTCTCCAGGTTTACGGGGAATGTCACTTCAGCTAATCTGATCTGATACAGGTCATCTGGAAGCTAAGGAGAAACAATTAATTAATTAAACTAAGGAGAAACAATTAATCGGTGGACACAACTTGCCTCCAGAAGTTGGAAGTGCTCACTGGAGGTTTTAAGAAGAGATTGGACAACCACTTGTCTGAATGGTGTAAGGTTTTGTAGAAAATTAGCACCCACCCCTCTTAGATGAATGAAATCTTTTAGGAAATATTCAAAAGGCAGTATATTATATTTTTCCCTATAGGAGAAACATATTTCTAAAGAGACCTTCATTTCCCTGAGCACCAGCAGTTATTTGGTACCCATTGGGAAGGACTGGGCCAGCCCATCTACAAAACAAAAGATCTTCAACTCCACAATGATGGGATTATCCTTCAGGGCAAAGCCATTCAGCCACAATAGAAATTGCACAACAAAGTCCCTTCATTGCATCAGCCCAAGCTTCAACCAAACCTGGGACTCAGACAGCCTACAAAGTTACCAGTGACTCCTACAGCAACCAATAGAATACATGCTCTTGCCACAGGAACAGGAAGCTCAAGGGCAAGGGCCAAGAGAGGGTATAAATAACTCTCACTCTCTACTCCATGTGGTTCACTTGCCCACGACCGCAAACCCGTGTCCATCAATAAACCCTCTTTCCAATCAGCTTCCACGTTTCCAGTTTCTTTCTCCCCACTTGCAACTGAACCAGATGGATATTTCTTCCAACAGTTTCCTGCCTGAGCATGGGGTTGCACTAGAAGACCTCCAAGGGCCCTTCCAACTCTGTTACTCCGTTCTTCTGTTATAATAAAGCTGTTATCACATAATGCAAAATGTCATAAAATAGTTCCTCCCCTGATGTTTGACTGTGTCATGCACAGTACTTTCAAAGTACTTTCAAAGGAGATACAGCATATAGAATAACAGAGATTAAAGAAACCTTGGAAGTCTTCTATTGCAACCTCCTGCTTAAGCAGATCTTACTGGACAAATGGCTACATCCACAACTTCTGGAGGCAAAGCTATTCCACTGGCTAATTGTTCTCAGCGTTAGGAAATTTCTCCTTAGTTCTAACTTGGTTCTCTCCTTGATCGTTTCCATCCATTGTCCCAAAGGTGCTTTTTTTTCAAGAGGCAACTGGACTTTCTGTTTTTTTCTTTGAAGATGTTTCCCTTCTCATCCCAGAAGCTTCTTCAGCTCTGACAGGATGGTGGTGAATAGAAGGATTTATATTCCTTGCAGACAGCTGGTCATTTGCATTCTTTTAGAGAGCCACTGAGGCCACTTGGAGGTTTATCTGTGTTGTCAGAATCACCTGAGTGGTGCTAAATGAATGCAAAAGACCAGCTGTCTGCAAGGAGTATAAATCTTTCCGTTCCCCACCATCCAGTCCGAGCTGAAGAACTTTTTGGATGAGAAGTGAAACATGTTCAAATAAAAAACAGAAAGTCCAGTTGCCTCTTGAATAAAAAAGCACCTTTGGGACAACCATGACCTGGATGATGGAGAATCTCCATAGAGTTTCCATCCATTGTTTCTTGTCTTGCCTTCTGGTGCTTTGGAGAACAGTTTGACCCCTTGGTCTTTGTAGGAACCCCTCAAATTTTGGAAAACTGCTATGTTTGAATAGACCCTACATTTTCCAGTCCAGGTAGTTGATTAAACATCTGTCCTTGGGAGCTGAGAAAACTGGCAAGGAAATATCTCTGGAAGAATGACTGTTGTGGTTAACTGACAGCAGGTGTGGACAGCTGAGGAGAGCGAGGACTCGGATGAGGGGCCAGGACCATCAGGGAGTGGACTGCTGCCTTCAGAGATTTTGGGGGCTGGCAGCAGTGATGAGGAGGTTCCCGAGGAGCCTGTGCCAAGTGCGCGTGCGTGCAGGGTTGCTCGTAGGACAGAGCAGCTACAACAGCACCGGCAACTCGGGAGTAAGGCTGCAAGTTAATGGCCCCTCCTTCAAGAAGATAAAAGCCGAACTGAAATGAACGTACTTTGCAGAAGGCAAAGACCTTTTGAAACTCCAGCTTCGTGGACATTCCAGTATCCCGAGTTTGTATTTGAAGATTCTTGTATTGCAAATTATTTCTGGTCTGTTATCTTTTTGGCAAGTCTCGCACAGTTTGGCAAGGCTTGTGCTTATCGCAGCTAATTATTTTATAAAAGCATTACAAGGTTTCTGTTCCTTTTGGATTGTGTTTGATTTGTCGGAAAAGGGCGTGGGTCAGAACAATGATCCAATGGGTTAAGGGTTATTTAACCACAAAAATTCCAACCTGCGCAGGTGAAGGAAGGCCGTGTAGCATTGCTTGCGAAACTCCTGGTACTGCTCGCTCTGCGTCCCTCCCATTCCTTCCACCATTTCCTTATTCAGCTTCATGGGTGGAGGAAGAGGCTTCGGGTCACGTCCCAGAATGTAGCCAAAATCAATGTGGAAAAGTTTGCCTGCATTGGGAACATCAGAAAAAAAAAAGGTTAGATTTACACCAAGGAGGGAATTGACAAAGTTTGGCTCTCTCTTTAGTACTTAGGATTTACAGAATAAAAGAGTTGGAAGGGACCTTGGAGGTCTTCTAGTCCAGGGATTGCTAACCTTTTGGACCTCAGGGACCACTAAATTCATAATTTTAAATCCCGCGGACCACTAATATGAATCCAGTGTGCTCCTCGCTGAAGCGCCTAGACTCCCAGTGAAGGGATGGGGTCCTTCAGGCATTAGGCTTGGCCACATGTTACTGCAACCTTAAACACTCAAAGAGCCATTTGGACCCATTTCCCACAGGAAAAAAATACCACTGGGATCTCTCATCTCTCCCTCAGTATCTCTTTCTCTCTCTCTCTCTCATCTCTCTCTCTCTCATCTCCCCCCTCCCAATATCTTCCTCTCTCACACACACAAATCTCTCTCTCTCTCATCTCCCTCTTTCTCTCTCCCCCTATATCTATATATCTATATATCCATATATCTATCTATCTATCTATCTATCTATCTATCTATCTATCTATCTATCTATCTATCATCCATTCATCCGTCTATCTATCTATCTATCTATCTATCTATCTATCTATCTATCTATCTATCTATCTTCCATTCATCCGTCTATCTATCTATGATCCATTCATCCATCTATCTATCAATCTATCTATCCATCTATCGTCCATTCATCCGTCTATTTTTCTATCTATCATCTATCTATCTATCTATCTATCTATCTATCTATCTATCTATCTATCTATATCTCACGCACACATACTTCTCTCTCATCTCTCTCAGCTGGACCCGTCAGTGTTTTGGGGTGGAGAGGAAGTCGCGTGTCTCCCAGTCACGCAGCACCAAGGGCCAGAAAAAAAACAAACCAAGAGATCTAGCAAGAGATGAAGCTTCGCTCCCAATCTGGAAGAGCAGGAGTATGGAGCAAATCTCCATTCCCCCAGGCGAGGAGTGAGTGGGAAAGGTGGGTGAGGAGCGGAGCTGGGTTCACCCCCTCTTGCCATAACAGCCCCAATTGCCTCATTCCGAGCGGCTGAGGGCTACGCTGCCCTTTGCACCTCCTGCAAAGTTGCAAGTTGCATCTTCCTCCCTCTACGGTGCTGATATCCAGCCTAACCATGAGCTGCCTGGCTGGTCCAATAATCCAGAACTCTAGGCCTCTGGCCCATTTGTCATCCCGGAGCAGTTCCTTCACCCAGGTGCGCCGCAGACCACCAAAATTTTCTAACGGATCACCAGTGGTCCGCGGCCCACCGGTTGGTGACCCCTGGACTAGAAGACCTCCAAAGTCCCTTTCCAACTCTATAATTCCCTAATTCCATTCAGCACAGAACCATAACATGTTAATAAACCCACATGTGCAGTCATCTGTTTCCAGTTTAGGGCTCTCTGGATCTCCATTTCAAAGGATCAGGATGAGGTAAGGTCAGTTTTGCTTGTGAATACTATTGTCAGTCAGAATAAGCAACGGATGCCGGACTTGATGAATGCACTGCCTGGTATGTTATCTGATGTAATGCTACTTCAGATGCTGATCACGACGGTACGATGAGGTATGAATATTCCTGCTTCCTCCTTTTCTTTGGAAAGCAGAAAGACAACGCTATAGAGGACATGGCGTGAACATGACAAATTTGGCAGAATTGCGTGTGGCTTCTCAGTAGGTAAACTGGGCATGTTTGGAGAAACTCAGAGATTGCAACACCGGGGTGGGTCTCCTATCAAAACCCTCCAAGAAGAACATGCAAGGCAGAGGTGGTATTCAGCTGGTTCGGATCGGTTCGGACAAACCTGTAGTGAAAATTTGGACCAGTTCTGAGAACCGGCAAATTACCACCTCTGACTAGCCCCACCCACCTGCCCCCGCCCTTTCCCGTCCTATATTCCATTGATTTTTAACTCAGCCGATTCACACAGCAGAGCGGATTGCCGCGCCTCAGCTGAGCTCAAAAAAACAGCTCACCTCATTGAGGGTGATCTTTGAGTGCTGCGCGCGCAAAGGGATCTGTGAGTGCTGCGTAGGCGTGCAAAGCGATATGTGAGCGTTGTGCGTGCATGCGAAACAATCTGTGAGTGCTGCCTATGTGCAGGAAGTGACCTTAGGGGTGCAGTGTGCACGCACGAAGCACGCAGAACCAGTAGCGTGCAATTTGGAACCCCACCACTGATGCAAGGTCGTCTGATTCTCCTACACTTTGCACGTTTCATGTAACTTTTAGTTCTCCAATCCCATCTACTTAAGCAAGGTGTGCAAACCTGCAGAAACAGAATTAACAGAGTTGGAAGGGGCCTTCGAGGTCTGCAGGGGTCACCAACCTTTTGGACCTCAGGGACCACCAAACTCATAATTTTAAATCCCACGGACCAGAGACCCTGGGAAAATCCCCCCAAAAAGTCTGCAGGACCGTTTTCCTATTGATAGTTCTTTATTTGGGATCACAGGATACCATCTCCAGCTCCATTCTCAGGGGGAGAGAGAGAGAGAGAGAGAGAGACTTTTGTCTTCAAGCAAGGAAAGCAGCAGAAGCAGCAAAAGTCTTTCTTTCTTTCCCCCAAACTCTGCCAGAAATGAGTCTTTGCCGGCGCAGCCTCTTGGAGCAGGAGGCCTTTCAGGGTCCCAAAGACTCATTTCTGGCAGAATTTGGGGGAGAGAAAGAAAGACTTTTGCTGCTTTCCTTGCATGCAGCCAAAAGCAGAAGAAAGAAGTGGAAAGAGGTAGCCCGGTGGCCAGGCGAGGCACATGGGGCGAGTGGGGCAAGTTCCTCCTCTCCACCCTTTCCCCCCTACCCTCACTACCTTGCGTTGTTCACAATGCAAGCGATGCAAGCCTTGTGTTCCTGTGGGCCATGTGGATGGCACAGCCTTGTGTTCCCACACAGCCTGGATTAATTGCTTTGGGGGTGACATTTCTCTGCGGTCCAGCAAAATTTTCTCACAGACCACCAGTGGTCCCCAGCCCACTGGTTGGCGACCACTCGTTCTAGTCCGACCCCCTGCTCAAGCAGGATACCCTATACCATTTATGGTCCAGTCTCTTCTTAAAAACCTCCAGTGATGGATTAAGATTAAGAATGGAGGCTCCATTTAACTTTTTTTTGTGACAGTCATTCTTGCTGATCTGATGGCTTTGGAAATGTATCAGTGCACAAGATCTACCGTACCAATTACATATGCAAATATTCCTAAGATTAATTAATGGCTCTGATTCGCTCTGTACCGTGCTGGATAAGAAGTATAATTACAGTCTCAGGACTTATTCTTTGTCTTCCTTTTTTTTCTTCCCCCCCCCTGCATATAAAAAGCATGGATCTCTAGACTCATCATGAGGACGGGCTCAACATAAATTAGCAGTGAGAAGAATCTCTCTAAATGTTCGTAATTAAATAACTCGTGTGATTTTACAACATCGATCAAAGCCTGCTGGTTTAAAATGTTTTTTTTTTAATGTGTTGTGCTTTGTGTGAGTAATATCCTTTGCCAATTTTTTTTTGAGCAATAGGGGAAGTAACCCAAGGCAGTTCCATATGGTGCAACAGAGTTGATTCTTGTGGGATTCTGCTTTTTTTTTTTTTTAAAAAAAATCATCTTAAGTCAAACCGTGTGGAATTAATGCTGGGAATTTAGATAAATGAATGCAGGGTGAAATATGTTCGTATAGGAAGTTGGTGTCATCAGAGCAGAAATTATATCTCTGATGAAAGTTCTTTAAATTATATAAATGAAATTATATCTCTAAGCAAGTTTTTGTGATGACCCGGAGCGTGACACAAAAATAACAAAGTTACAAAAATAGAATAAATCCCCTTGAATGCCACCAACTTGGGGCCCCAATGTCCAGTTATCCTTGGCTGGATATCAAACACTTCCAAAAACAGTCTATGAAGGGAGTAAGTGCAGTCTGAACCCAAAGTAAAGATAATTATAAATTAAAAAACCCAACACAAACCACACTGAAGTAATTAACATGGCAGGCCAGGATGATAAATTGCAGACTTCCACAAGATAATGCAGCAACCACAGTTGGGAGGATGCCAAAACCCAGATAACCCTTGACTACGATAATGCATGCTTTGCTCCCAGCAAGGAGCTATGTGCAAACGCCCCACTTATATCCTGTTCTCCCAGCTGCAACTAATGAAAGGGATCAGGGCCTTTTTCTCTCCCATAAGCCATGTTGCTCCCTTCTCTGTTCCTCCCTGAGTGCCCTAGGATGAAGAGGGGATGGTCCTGGGTCTTCCTCTGAATACCCAGCCGGACTGTGCCCTTCCCCAGTTTCTTCCACAGCCACCAGAGCCACACTCCCATTCCCTGTCAGCTACTCAATCTCCCCCTCAGAATCAGACTCCAACAAGGGCATGACAGTTCTCAACAGGAGAAACAAGGATGGATGCAATAGCTAATACAGTTTAGGCTTGTCCTGCTCTTCCTGTACAGGCAATCCTCGATTTACGACTACAATTGAGTCTAACATTTCTGTTGCTAAGTGTTCTGACCTGGCCTTCTCAGAAGCAAGAAACAGACTCCCTGAAAAGAAAAGAAAAAACCCTCTTTATTTACACATGGGGAATTAATGCATTCACCAACAGAAAGCCCAGGCAAGAATCCTGCAAGGTGCTAACTGAAACAATAGTTCTTATTAGCTCACTATGATAAATGAGCTCCCGGGAGGCTGCAAATTAAGTCACTTCAAACAGAGAAATAGACAAACCTCAGCTCTGGCAAGGCAGTCCTGGTCGCACAAAACACACAAGGAGCAAACTTTCCAGAAATGCTAACAGTTGTCTGCAACAACCAAACCACTCCGCTTTCCTCCTATTTATTCCCCAGCCAGGGAGGGGCCAGTCAGCATCCACATTTGTTTTGCTTCCCGAGCCGGCTCATTGTCCTCCATTGTTCACCTCTCCTAACAGCTCTGCGCATACGTGCATCTGGAACAGGCCTCAGCTGTTCCTCC